AAGCATGATCGTCCCCACCCAAAAGATGAGGAGGTACCCAGAGGGCCAAGAGCTGCCCAGGGTGACCCAGCTGGGAAACAGCATCGCTCCCACACACAACTCTGGCACTGCCCGTAGAAAAGCTCCATTGAGTTTCACAAACTGGATTCAGCTGTGCCTCTGAAAAGATAACCCTCACCTGAGACCAGGAAAATGCTTTGACCCAGAGGGGGATGAAAACAAGACAACCCTCTCAAAAGGAAAGAGGGAGTGAAACATGACATAGCTGTCCCTGCTCATGCTTCACATTTGTTTGTAAAATGAATGCCAAAGTTTTGGTAACATCTGCATCTTTTGCCATAACCACAAACCAAAAACTTGAATGCTATGATAACATGTTGGGTTTGCATTTTGAAGAGATTCGCATGTCTCTCAAGAGTTACAAAACCGTGACCCATATGCACAGACAACCTGCAGCAATGCCAGCTGCCAATGGATCCATCTGGAAGGGGTCTCGGAGCTTGCCTGGGCCAGAGAGCGCTACTTCCTAGACGATCCTAAGGCCTCCCCTAGAGGGGCTCAAGCATTGGGATCCACCACAATCCCCTGACATCCCCAGTTTCTGATCTCATAGGTCTGCCACGGGGCCCTGTCATCGGCAGACCTCTAGCCTGCCTCCTCAGTAATTCTGACGCAGAGGACGCAGGCCACCCTCGGAGAGACGTTCCTCCGCTGTGGCTTGTGAAGATCCCACTTAACAGAGAGCAGCAGGCTCGAGGGGCTGTGACTCGTTAGGTCTTGCTGGAACCGCATTCTGGTGGTGATTCTTACCCCACGCGAGCAGGAAGGACACCTGAACACGACAGCCCTGGCTGCCCACCAGAGGCCCTTTGGTTGGGGAGTAAAATGCAGCTAAAAGTTTAAAAACAAATGAGAACTAACTAGCAGTTGTTTATTACCTTTCAACATATAATGCCCCATCTCCTTCTCTGCCCTGAGATTCATTCACTCTCTTCACCCACCTAAATATCTCTGAACATCCCGAGCCAGAACTGCCTGATCTGTCACTATGGTAAGAGTTTTCTAAACCTCTATGCATAGGACTCAATTTGTCAGTAAAAACTGCCACCCACGCTGTGCTTGCAGAAAAATGTCCATAAAGGCATTACTGCGACTGGCAGATCGATGTCTATAATAAAAACAAATAGATTTAACAAGTGCCTGCTTTTACAAGCCATGCCATTGGTGGACTACCCATTCGGTGTCCCCCGCCCAGAGTTCCGGGAATGGGGGGCAGGGCTGGAGTGGGAGACTCCGCTGACTTCACGAGCGTCACAGGTAGGAAATTATTCTAACGAGAAACTTTTAAGAGTAGGAGAGTGAACACAAGGCATTTATTGCGCTCTCACCATTCCTTTCGTGGTTACACACACGACGACTAATTTAACAACCAGAAGAAAATGTTTCCGTAGAATTTTTAACTGGTTTCATAACAGCTACCTCACACACCAAACGAGTGGACCCTAGGTGGGGTGAAGGGGTCACAAGGCCTCCGTGGAGAACCCTGCTCTGCTGCTGAGCTGCTGATTTAACTGAAAACAACTGCGGTGTCAAAAACAAGCTTCCCTATTCACAGCATCTGCGTCAGGAACCCCAGGGCAGCCTATCCGGTTATTTAGCTGGAGGAGCCACGGGAGCGTGGGCCGCTGCAGACTGGTTTCACTGCCGGCCCCGAGCATCTTGGCATGGCTCAGTGATCCCTTTACAGATGAACCACACCTGCCAAAGCCACTCTGATGCTTCAAAGATGAACAAGAGTCACAAAACTGATTTCTTCCTCTTCATGAATAAATCAATTTAATAGTTCCATGAAGGAGTAAGTCATTCATTACATTCCATACTATATTCATTAATTATATAATTTTCCCCAAACTACGCAGCCCTCCTGTACAAGCTGTACTATTTTTGTAAGTCAAAAGAAAATTAGACTGTTTCTACCAACCAGCAGATACGCAGCAGTTAATGAAAAGCCACAGAACACACATCTTGCAATATTTGGTCCACAACACAAAGCCTCCAACTTCTACCTACCTCTACCCAAGACAGGCCTGCAGAGCTAACAGGGCAGGTCAACAAAACCCTCAGGCCAACCAAGGGCCCTCCTGCATAGCTCAAACCTCCTCCCCTCCCAGATCAACCCTTTCACTTCAAACCAAGAGTGGGGCGTACAGCTGGCTCGTGCATCAGGAGTGTCCATAAAAAGGCTGACCACGGGCAATCCATGGTCACGTGACGGTTTATATGCCTCTGATTTTAAAACCTTCAGGTTTGGTTTAAATAATATTCTGCCAGGCCAGGCATGGTGGCTCACACCTATAATCCCAGCAATTTGGGAGGCCCAGGAGGAAAGATTGCTTCAGTCCAGGAGTTCGAGACCCTTCCAGGCAACACAGGGAGGCACGGCCTCCACACACACACCAAAAATGTAGCCAGGTGTGGTGGCACACACCTGTGGTCCCAGCCACTTGGGAGGTCAAAGCAGGAGGTTCGCTTGAGCCCACGAGTTTGAGGCTGCAGTGAGCTATGATCTCACCACTGTACTCCAGCCTGAGCAACAGAGCAACACCTTGCCTCTAAAAATAATAATATTCTTGAATAAGACCCCAGCTCTTTCAGAAAGTAGCTGTATCGAAAGCTACCTTTCCCAGGAAACAGAGGGTCAGGAAGGAGCGTAGCAACAGCCCGGGAGCTGAACAAGCACAGGGCCCTTCAGAGTCTGGGAGGCTCAATGTGTCCCCTGGAGGGACTAGAGTCCCAAAAGGAAGTGAAAAGCCTCAGGGAAAGTAGATCTGGACAAGGAACTTTATGCTGGGGCAAGGGGGTCAGAATAAAGCATGGAAAAAAAAAAAAAGAATAATGTTAAAGGAAAAGATAACGCAGAAAAATTCAGTTGTGCCTCCCGTTTTTTTCTATCAAAGAGAATATACTAGAAACTGAAAAGGGCATTAACACCAAAAAACCTGGATGTTCAAATCACTGGCTCCTAAGTGTATGTCCTCTGCAAAATAGGAAAAACCAGACAATTTAGTACATTTATTTTACTATAAAATATTGAAAGAGTCAGGGTCTTGGTGTCCTAAGAAAGGGAGGGAAGAGGGCTGATGAACAAACTCCGAGGGGGACGGGGAGGCAGGTTCTTCTCCGGGCCTTGCCCTGCCCGCTTTCTCCCTGCAGAACAGAAGAGGCCCTGACTGAGACACCGGTGAAGGAAACCACTCACCGCAGCAGGCAGCCCTGGCCTTCTCTACCAGAGGAAAAGGTTTAGGAATCTGGGCAGCTGAACAACCTATAACGAGGGCACTCTTTCTTTAAACCTAACTAACAGCCTTTTTAAACACAGTAGCCTTTTTAAAGTACTGCCTAACAGCCTTTTTAGAGGAACGCCTAATTCTATTAAACCTTACTGTGATACAGAATTTTTTTTTTCCTTTGAGACAAGAGTTTCACTCTCTTTGCCCAGGCTGGAGTACAATGGTGAAATCTCAGCTCACTGCAACCTCCACCTCCAGGATTCAAGTGATTCTCCTGCCTCAGCCTCCCAAGCAGCTGGGATTACAGGCGTGGACCACCACACCTGGCTAATTTTTGTATTTTTAATAGAAATGGGGTTTCATTATGTTGGCCAGGCCAGTCTTGAACTCCTGACCTCAGGTGTTCCACCCACCTCAGCCTCCCAAAGTGCTGGAATTACATGTGTGAGCCACTGTCCTGGCCCAGATAAGATTTTTTTTTTTTAAACAAAAAGCCTATTTACATTGGAAAGTACCTGAGTATAGCTCTGTACTGGAGGCCTACTTCATCTCGGCCCCGACGGTGACAAATACTACTCCACTATTCAGATTCTCCCCTGAGAGGGAGGGCACCCGGAAGACACTGGCAGAGCAAGGCCAGCTCTCCTCTGCTACTTGCAAGTAGGCTCTGGGTCCCATCAAGTATCCTGGCCCTCTGAGTTAACGTGATGTTAACCACCAGCCAGGCTCTTGATGAGGTTTCCTCCAAAGTTTTCACACCCCCACCCACCAAATGTACTAAGCTTTTGGTTTTGAGAATCTTGTTCATCTCCCTGAGTGTTCTGGCCATTGAGAGAGCCGGGAAAATAACAAAACCATCACCTAGTCACCTGCCCAGGGATGGGGGAGATAATGGGGGAGTCTGACCTAACAGATGCTCTACAGGTGTATACTTGATGTCTATGTAAGTAACCCGTCTAATTCTCAGCTCTCCGTGCTCAACCGCTTAACATTCTGCTAACAGCTGTGGCGACCCCTCTCTGGACCAAGCCACTTCCCTCTGATGATGGTCCCAGTAGGCAAAGGTTGCACACGTGTACAAAGTCGGCTTTCCAGGACAGAAAGCCAGGTACTCAGCCGAGGCAACGGAGAGCAACCACCCTCAGGTTTCAGATGATGGATCCACGAGTGCGAAATACATAGCTGAGAACTCCTCAGCGGTGTTATCACCGAGTGGGAATGACGGTGCCCAGTGTGCGCGGCTCTCGAACCCGCCTTGCTTACTCTTAAGTGTTGATGAACACAATTAGGGTGTGATATACACAGACACCAGCCATGGTAACGAGGAGGCCCTTAGAGCTTGGCCTCCAGCAGGAAGTTAATATGGGACCCTGCCCAAGTATGCCAAAGGCTTGCTGCAAGCCAAGGCCTGGGCAGGGGCTTCTGGGAGCTTCCCGCAGCAGCTAGAGGCAGGAAGAGCCCAGGGCCTGGGGCTGGCACCTGGAGGTAAGGCAGGGGCCGCCACGACCCCCGCCCCACGCGAGGCCACAGTCACTGCAGTGCAGCCTGGTCCAGGAACCCCAGTTCCCGGGGAAGGCTGGGGTGGGTGGGGGTCAGGGCAGCCCCAGCCCCGACGGCGAGGTGAGGGCGCCTGCAGGACCACTCGAGGCTGCCGCCTTCCCCAGGGAGAGCCCCGCACTGTGCCGGGAGCGAGGCGGCTCAGACACTCACCAAGTCGCAAACGCTGCGGACCGCGAGTACCTGCCAGCGCCGGGACGCAAAACGTTCTAGAAGCGCGGGCTGCCCCAGCATATCCGGGGCGCGGGGGCGGGGCCAGGGCTGAAGGGCGGGGGGGGCGGGGCCGAGGGGCCGGGGGGCGGGCGGCGGGGGGCGGGACCTAGAGCGGGACGGAGCCGAGAACCTGAGAGACGCCTGAAAGAGAGCGGGGGCGGGGCCAGGGCTGCGGGGCGGGAACGGGGGCGGGGCCGATGGGCACGGGAGCCGGCGGCATGGGGCGGGGTCTAGAGCGGGGCGGAGCCGAGCACCTCAGAGCGGTAGGAAAGCGAGCAGGGGCGGGGCCGAGGCCGGGACCGCGCGCGGCGTCTGCGCATGCTCAGTGCGACCGCCGGGCCTGAGCCGCTCTGCGCAGCCTCGCCGGAGCTGGTCCTCCCGCGGTGCCGGCCCCGGCCTGGGCGCCTGACCGCGATGGCCCTTCCGCTGGTTCGAGCCCAGGCAGATCCTTCCCTGCTTCCGCCTCAGGCTCTGTGCCTCATTTTGCCAAATAGCCCGTACCTTTTCCTGTTACAGGGATAGTCCGCGGGCGTGCATGCAGCCTGCCACGTTCCCCGGGTGGTCCTGAAGGCGCGCGGGGGTGGCAGGACGGCGCCCACTTAGTGAGAATCCCAAGCCTGCCCAGGGCGGCTGCGCTGAACCCGGAGAGCGAGTCTCTGCCCTCCTGGGGTCTGCCCCTCCCACCCCCGTCAGGGACCCCCAGACCAGCAGAGACCCTGTAAGGGGGCTGTAGAGGCAGCCTCCAGGGCCTGTGGTGCAGGGTCCCGTCCAGGGGCTGCAGTTCCTCACGGCCTAGACCCAGCCAGGGCCTGACTCAGCTGCTCTCCAGAGAACTCACAGGGTGCCAGGCCCTGCTTGGGGTTGTGTGGCCGTTATTAGGAGTTGAATTGTGTCCACCAGAAAAGCGATGTTGGAGTGCTGACTCCCAGAATCTCGCAGTGCGACCTTATTTGGAGATGGGGACCTTACTTGGAGAGGTAACAAGTGAAAATGAGGCCATCAATTAGTGGCCCCTAATCCAGTATGCCTCATGTCCTGATAGGCAGAAGGCCGCCTGGAGAGGAGGATCGAGGGGTTGCACCTGCAAGCCGCCAGAAGCCAAAGAGGGCAGACCCTTCCCTGGAGCTGTCGGAGGGAGCAGAGGACAGACCCTTCTCTGGAACCTTCGGAAGGAGCAGGGTCCTAACACATCTCGGTTTCAAACTTCTGGCCTCTGGAACGGTGAGACAATAGGTTTCTGTGATTTAAATCACTCATTGTGTGTCACTTGATTATGGCAGCCCTAAGCAGTGGGTACAGAAACCATTGTCTCCAAAATGGTGGATATAACCACCCCAGTGAGTAGTATCATCCCTGGAGGCTTCGGAGAGGTCACACACCCCTTAGCAGATTCAAGGGTCCCGTCCAAGGCCTACATGCTCTGAGCCACCGTGATAGAGGTCTTCTAGGTTCTGTTTGTTTTCTTAATGGAAAGGGATCTTCTCCTCCTGGTGTATCTTCCCTGTTGGGATTTGGCCAATGCTCATACCTTCCTATTTGTGACTTGCAGGATCCCACATATTAATTTGGGTGATAAGGGTTGTTCTGAGGAGAACTTCAGCAGGATTTGCTTTGAGATGAGCCCTGGGGACAAGACAGGCTGCACCCCTGATCCACTGAGGTTGCCCAGCCTAGCCCGTGCCTTGGCTGAGACATGTTTTAAATAGCTGCTTGTAGAAAGTAAACTAGGCCCTGAGTTCACACTCATGGTCAAATAAAGGCACTTTTTCTCCACTGAGCCTAGACACAGCCTCAGAATCCTTCTCAACCCCTTGTTCCAAGCAGCCATTCGCATTTAAACTAATGTGGAAGGAGAGATGAGACATGTTTGCCCTTGGCTCTGGTCTTTTCTATTAGCCTTCCTGCAAGACTTCAGGAAACTTATCTGACTTCTCTAATTCTGTTTCATCCTCTGTAAAGGAGTCTTATAATAATGCACCTTACATGTATACAGACTGTCCTTACGTGTGAGGGCACATGTGCATAGGGAAAATAAACCACTTAGCACCACACCACACTGCTAACAAATAATGCTATACACCTGGCCTTCTGCAGCCTGTTACTACAAGGACCCAGTTAGAACTGGGATCCTAATAACACCAAAGGAAAATCAAGGCCAAAATTGAATTAAAGTTCCCACTGGGATTCTAGCAAGTGTGCTGTTAAGTAGTTTTGCAATTAACACATGACTCATACTTTTATCTGAATAACATTTTAATATGAATCCCGAAACTACTTATTTGTCATACTTTAAGTTCTGGAGTACATGTGCAGAACGTGCAGGTTTGTTACATAGGTACACACGTGCCATGGTAGTGTTTCGCTGCATCCATCACCCCATCATCTACATTAAGTATTTCTCCTAATGCTATCCCTCCCCAATTCCCCCACCCCCTGCTATTCCTCCCCTAGCCCCCCACTCCCCCAGCACTGGTGTGTGATGCTCCCCTCCCTGTGTCTGTGTGTTCTCATTATTCAACACTCACTTATGAGTGAGAACATGCAATGTTTGATTTTCTGTTCTTGTGTCAGTTTGCTGAGAATTATGGTTTCCAGTTTCATCCATGTCCCTGCAAAGGACATGAACTCATCTTTTTTTATGGCTACATAGTATTCCATGGTGTATATGTGCCACATTTTCTTTATCCAGTCTATCATTGATGAGCATTTGGGTTGGTTCCAGGTCTTCGTTATTGTGAACAGTGCTGCAGTAAACATATGTGTGTATGTGTCTTTATAATAGAACGATTTATAATCCTTTGGGTATATACCCAGTAATGGGATTGCTGGGTCAAATGATATTTCTATTTCTAGATCCTTGAGGAATCTCCACACTGTCTTCCACGATGGTTGAATTAATTTACACTCCCACCAACAGTATAAAAGCGTTCTTATTTCTCCACATCCTCTCCAGTATCTGTTGTCTCCTGAATCCCTAAACTCTTAAGAAAAAGAGACTAGCCAGTCTTAGCACCTCTAATTCCCCACCTGAGGAAAGAAAAGCCAATGGGGTCATCCAGAGGCCTTTTAGGAGGGGCCCGTGGGAATGGGGAGGCAGTGCGTGAAAGTGCTGGCTTCTGGGGAGATGTGCAGACTGGCTCTGGCTCCGCTGGCAGGACTCAGTCCCATTGCTGGTGCAGTGGTAAGGACTATGTGAAGGGCTGTAGCTACTTCCATGGTAGAGACTGTGTCTGTTGGGGGCTCCAGAATCAGGAGCCAAATAAGGGTCTCTAGAGCACAGAGGAGCAAGACGACAAGAGTCACCACCTGACAAAGGACTGGCCTGCAGAAGACCAGGATTCAAGGATGTGACCGCTCAGGCTGTTGAATGAGCAGAACTCAAACCCACACTCCCTACACTTGTGGTGCAAGTTCCTCCTTTCGTCATGGTCATTTCAAAAACCCACGTTTTCATCAAGAGCTCCGCACGCCTCTCTGCCTTGTCCCATTACAATCTCATCATCACCTGCATGTTCATCCTACTGTTAAAGGAACACAGGATGGCTCCAAAGCAGGGAAGTCGACAGGTGCACAGAAGAATAAGGAACATGAGACACGGAGGCTCGGGATGCGGTCCAGCCCCGCCCCTCATGGAGCAGCCACCTGGCATCTCTGTTCGAAGGATGGCAGCATAGGACTAGCTGGCTGAGATTCCTTCAAGGTCTCCCATCTTCAGATGAACAAAGCATGACCCCTTTTTCTCCGGTACAGATTCCTATGAAGAACTTTTTACGAAAGAGGTTAGAAAACCACAAAAGGTTACGCTCAACGCCAGTCTGACTTCTTCAGAGAGCTCCCTGGATTTCCTTTAACAGCCAGCTTTCTCGTGGGCACTGGGAACAATGTGAATTTGCATAGTTTCTTTAAACATCCAAATGGATACTTTTCAGGTTAAGCAAATGAACACGACATGCGATTGCTTTTAATGATTTGCAACCCAAGAAATTTGTTTAATAAGCCTGTCTTCCCAAGCTACTTTTGTGACATTAGAGACCATTTACAACAAAGCTGTCTTCAATAGTCAAACTTAATCCTTACTACCCTACCTTTGGGAAATGAAGGGATTTTATAACGATCACATAAAACCTTATGTGGTTTGAAAGCCCCACACTCTGGACAAATGTGTGATGGTCGTGTAACAAAAGAAACATATTACAGGGCTCCCCACTTTAAGTGTTTTACATATGGTTTGCTTTTAAGATAGCATCTCTGGTGGAAGGCTTTGCTGATTAACACAATTGATTTTCTTAGCCCCAGTGTTCCTGTAAATGTTAGAGCCAAGAGCTGGAGTCAGCTCCTTGGCCCTGGGAGAGGCCAGGAGGCCGGGGAGCCTAGAAGACTCTGGAGGATGAAGCCTGAAATGGAAAGGTGGGGGCCATCAGTCCTGGGGGGTAGGTGCCAGGTGCTTCTGATTACACTCCTGTGTGACACAGTTGTCAGCATAGCAAAGGCATTGTGCTGTGACTGCAGCAGGGATGTAATCCACAAGTGGGCAGGAAAAAGGGCAGGAAGGAAGGGCTTCAGGCTTTGCCTCACACAGATGGCAAGGGCACAGTGCAAAAGTGGAAAAGGCGGATGGGGGTACAACTAACACGGGAGGGGATCCTTAACTCTTGCATTTTTCCAGAGAGGCAGAACACCTTCCTGCCAGGAGCCCCTGGGAGCTTCTATCGAGATCTGGAACCCTTCAGGCCCTTTTGTGTCAAGAAGGGCAGAAAGGATAATTCCTAAGGAAATGAGCCAGAGGCAGCCCGAAGACTCCTATTGGAAAGGCTTTTCCTGAAACTTCCTTTGCTAGCGTGGGTGCAGGGCCTGGAGATGGATGTATGGGACTTGTTGCAGGCCCCTGTGGGGCTTGTAGTTGAATGGCGCACAGATAAGGAAATGGTTTGGTCTCTGGAGCAGTGAACCTCTACCCAGGAGATGCACAGGGGCAATGGGCGTGCGAAGGAAGCCCCCCCCACCCACCCACTGCGTCCACACTCCCTTCAGCAGCCCT